TGATGGTGTCCCGGTCATGTTTTGATGGTGTCCCGGTCCTGTTTTGATGGTGTCCCGGTCATGTTGTGATGGTGTCCCGGTCATGTTGTGATGGTGTCTCGCTCATGTTGTGACGGTGTCCCAGTCATGTTTTGATGGTGTCCCGGTCACCTTGTGATGGTGTCCCGGTTATGTTGTGATGGTGTCCCAATCGTGTTGTGACGGTGTCTCGGTCATGTTTTGATGGTGCCCTGGTCATTTTGTGATGGTGTCCCGGTTATGTGATGATGGTGTCCAAGGAAGAGATGGTCGATGTGTTGAAAACAGCAGCTGTTTCCAGATTGTTCTTTTTGTCCCGGTTTGTATCTTGCTATTGGGGTCTCCAGCTGGGCTAATTTTTTCCTGCTTTTCGCGCGGACCCGCCAGGTGGCCCACACATTTTGTCCCACTGTGGTGGGCGGGGTGTGCCGGAACCCCGTGGGTCGCTTTTCTGGGGCGAGAGAGAAGCGGCATTGGTAATGACCGATTCGGGTGCGGTAAATTTGAGAAAAAAAGACATGAAAAAGATCGACTGAAAGCTACTAGGAACAAGTGCGTCGCTAGTAGTAACAAGTGCCTTACTGGTAGTAACAAGAAGCTAGTAACCTCAAGATCTGCAGCCCTTTTATACATATCTGGACTGGTCGTGACTCGAGGCGCGACTCGTCCAACGAACGCCCCCGCAACTCCGGAGAGTTGTTTTTTTGAACTCAATGAAGCAAGGTCAGTGGCTCGGCTTGCTTACCATCGGTGTTTGGCCTTCAAGCCCATCGCTTACAAGATGGTGTCGAACCATGAGTCGGAGATGAAGCTCTTGCAAGAGATGAGTCACCAGATGCAGGAGATGAAGGTGGAGATGAAAGAGATGCGGCAAGAGTTGCACCAGGCAGAGGAAGACCAAAAAGCTTCTCCGGCGCCTTCTCCGTGGATGGACTCTGAAATCCTTGCTCGCATGCAGCACTTGATGGGAAGCAATGAAGAGATGGGCCAACTTGCAGAGGGATGCAAGAAGCTTCCCCAAACTTGGAAAGGAGGCAGCGAAAAGGATCTCCATGCAATCCGTTCCAACCTTCCTTCCAACAGCTCCTTGGTTCAAGGAGGTTCAAACATCTCAAAGCAATTTGCCCATTTCCCCAAGTTCCAGTCTATGACTTCGATTGGAGCGTACGCAAGAGCTGCTGTGCTATCATGGACTCCAGATGCGCGGGCTGCATGTCGACCAATGAGAAGCGTCACTGTACAGCATGCAAACCTGGCTTTTATGGTCCATATTGTCGCTCTTGCATCGATGACACCGAGTGGCGCAGCTTGGAAGGAAGAGATTGCGTGTCATTGCCTTCCAACCAGTGCAACGAGATCAAGGCTGGGTGTGACTTTTTTGCGCGGGTGTTCTCATGTTTTCCAGAATTGCCTTACTTAGCTACTTCCAGAAAACATGGGAATTGATCAAGACATTGATAATCTTTTGTATTGCGTTGTTGGTTGTTTCAACAATCAAAGTGTTTGAGAGCCAGTTTGGAAGTGCAAGGGAATGAGGTAAGAACTTGCAGAACTTGGCCCGAAACATGTGACTACAATGTTTGTCTAGCCATGGTATATTTATCACATGTTTGTGGGGAGGGGGCCCAGGGCTGCGCACTGACTAACTTGGGTTGGAGTGGAGTGGAGTGGAGACATTGCGCATGTGGAGCGGACGCGAAAAGACATGGAGTGTCTTGTCCCGAGGAAGAATCCAACTGAACAAACGGACAGCCCCACATGTGGCTGACCTCCCGACTTACTCTGAATCTTGTTGCGCACGCATTGCTGGCTCTTCAGATTGATGGAACAATGTGCTTGGATAGGTTTCTGACGTTTCTTCCGCTATATTCTGCTAAGTGTTCAGTTGGACGAGCGTTTTTGTCCTGCAACTGCTGGTTGGGTAGGGAATTGTTGGTGTACTTTGCAGCAAACGAGGGCGGGTCTGTGAGGGAGTTGGGTGTACTCCAATTTCACCGGGAAGGTGCCTTGCTGCATCTTACATGTAGGCCTGTTTTTGCTTGAACAGGTGTTCTGTTCCTTTTTCCTGCCTTCTCCTTTTTGTGGAGGTTCGGGGCAAAAGCTCACGAGAAGCCTGCTGCAAATGCAATGGAGGGCATCAGCTTGCCCAACCATTCAAGTACCCTGATCAACTTTATCAGGTCGGAGGCGGCGTTTGGCATCCACCCACCCCGCGAACGGTCACATGGTCGCGAAAATCAGAAGGACTCGCCGTTTCCGTCGATGGATGGTTGGCGTGTGTTCGGCTCCTGAAAGCGACTCAGGCTTTATTCTACACCATCAACCCTGATTGCGAGTTTCCTCTCTACAATCTCACGCTCTTGAGCGATCTGGGATTGATCGTCTACGGCGGAATCAAGCCCACTGAGCCGTTTGAGGTGACATGTGAAGTGACAGCCCATGAGGCGCCCCGCGTGACCTTCACAACGATTGCAAGCATCAAGGTTGGACAGCTCTTTACACGGAGCGAGGCCAGAGGTCTGGTTCGTGAACGCCAGAGGTGTCGTTCTTGGTTTGTGTTAAGTGAAGGGAGTGCATAGATTGAATGGGGCCTATAAAGCATGCGAAAGCGGAGTGTATTGGTGTAATTGGCCGATGTGACTCTGTGTGCGTGTGTGTGCCAGCGTCTATCGTTCAACAAGCATGCTAAAATCAGCTTTGGTCAGTCATTCAGGTGCTCACCTTCCACAGTGATGCGACCAAGCACCATGGTGCTTTACAATCCTCATGTCGTTGATCACACGACCGTGCACCTTCAGTGCAGCCCATACCATCACAGAGGAAACTGGCTTCAACTGACGCGTGAGGGACATCAGGCTGGTCGGAGAGGTGAGTCGAATATGAGTTCGAAGTTCGGGGCAGGAGGGAAGTTAAGAAAAGTCTTCAAGACTGCATAGGTCAGCAGAATTGACTTGTTACCATGCATAGGTATGCAGCGTTTCAATAGAGGTGTTCTTGAACCCAGTTTATGAGCCTTTGGTGAAATTCTTGCACAGAAACGAGTTGGACGTGCGTTCTTCACTGTTTGGTTGTGAGGTTTTCATTCAGCGGGCTCCTGGCAAAATTCTCTATGGAGCAGTTCCGCAGGAGGACTCGTGGTTCAATGGTCAGCAGGGCAATGCTTGCGAACTCAGCGCCAAATCGAAAGACGGCAGCGCCATCAAGACGTTTTTCGTGGCTTTGCATCCATCACCATGGCCTTCGCTGAGGTGCTCAACACCTCCGCGCGACCATTGGCCAAGAGCTTGCAAGCGTGAAGCCTATCCCGCCACAGCGCAAGGGGAACAAGGATCAATGGCTGCACCCCGACACCTTCGGCATGAAGTGCGCCACGCCGGGGGGCCTAACAGGTTTCTTTCGAAGGCGCCAGTTTGTGTTCTTTTTCCTCGGGCGCACCCCGTGGTTGTTAGGGTTTCGGGGGCCTCAAAACTCGAAGTATCTCAAAGTTCGAGAACATGAAAGACACTGAAGTCTTGAGGAACAAGATTCATGATCAACATCGCATCATCTATGTGGAAACCGTGGATGACCGCACTTAAAGTGAATATGATATGAACATGGTATTATTACGATGGAACCATGGGCTATTGAAACAACTTCGATCTTCCTGGTTTCTGCCCGAGGGTGGATGGGGTGGTGCTCCCAGTGCTCCCAGTGGTCTTCGACCGCAGCCAGTCGGCCGTCCTGATCGACGGGATCCCCGTCCTGCAACTGGATCCGCTGAACGGTGCGATGACGCTGGCGCCGCCTGAGGAGCTGGGTGCCTCCATGGAGAAGATCCAAGTGGTGGTGCCCAACACACCCAAAGTAGCGACGAGCCAAGATTGGTAGAAGGATGTGGTGCCAACATTGGGAGGGTCAGATGTGGATTCATTTGGGGGTCATGGGGTTCGCAAGAACTGACCAAAGACAGCCACACACTGTTGGTCAGACGGTGTAGGGGGGGTGAAGTATGAAGCTTTTCCAAAAGCAGGTGGACTATCTTGTAGACTCGTAAACTGTGCCTGTTTCTGCGTGGTGTGTTATCCGATTTGGTGAATAATCGTTTTTCTTTGAGGCTTGTCAGGAGCTTTGATGTGAAACATCGAGGGATGAAGAACACTTTCAACCGCAGGACAATTTGCAGCAGTTCCCATACGACAGAAGAAATATGTGCGCTGCCATGTCTACGCCCTTTATTCTGGCGATCAGCAGCTCCCAGGCTCCCAGTGCTCGCACAGGGGATTGACATGAAGATCTGGGACAACACTTGCTGGCAGAGAAAGCATTTGCCTGTGCACTTGGGCCTCCTCAGCCATAGCAAGGACCACCCTACATGTCGTAATGCATGCCGCACGAAAAAGAACTGCGTGATGGTCTACCTGGAATCAACACAGATGCACTGCGGCCATTTTGATGCCAGGGCGACCACACCGGGAGGTCTTGTCCAAGATCACTCATTGCGAGGAGGCCACCACATGTTTGGAAGTGCCTGGTGGGCCAGGAAAAGGGGAGTATTGTCCCATGGGCGAGTCCAACGGTCAAGTCCTCCTCCTTCTCCGAAGGAAATCCGTCGTCCCTGAGGAGCGCTTCTACATGAGGCGCTGCACGGAGAATTGGTGCCAGAACCATCCGCACTGCAAGAATGGGGCAACTGGGCTGCAGTTTTGGCGAGGTTTGGTCAGATCTATGAGGAAGTGCTACACCCTGAAGAAACATCCCCAAAAATTATAACCTTCTGTTTGCCCGTCGCGGCTGACTACAGGCTCGTACAACGTGTATTTGTACCATGTCTCTGGATGAAGTACGATGAAGTACACGTACAATTTAGCTTTGCTGTTTGCTTATGAGGCATGGCTGGTGCAATTTCCGTCGGCCAAAGACTATGTGCAATTGCAAGAAGGCCTGGTCGAGCTGCGATTTGCGGATGGTGTGATTTCTTTTTTCCCTAAGGTCAATAAGCCCCCTTCTGGGCAAATATGCGGTTTTTACAGGTTCCTTAAGCAAATCCAAGGTTCAGGAGAATTTTTGGTCTCCACAATCCTGCCCAGCACCTTCGCAATTGAAGAATCCGGAGGGTGACAGCCCTTTCGTGGTGGATGATGTGTCCACTCCAGTGTCCGATGACTATTTCTTGCAGCCTTGTCAATGCGTGCCTCCCGAATGTGGCTCCAAACCACCCCTGAGTCCAGAAGCATTTGACAGCATTCCGGCAGGAAGTGGGAATGAATATGTTCCTGCGCCTTATGACATTGTGGTGGGTTCGCAACTCATTTCTATTCACTGGGAAAATGATGTTGAGACGATGACTGCAGGGGATTGTGCAGCCAGATGTCAGGAATCTGCTACTTGCCTATTTTTTTGGCATGGGACACAAGCTTCAGCAAGTACATGCCGCCTCTACAAGCAGTGCAGCTCATTAGTCCATGAAGGGGGCCTTGAGGGCACTCTGAGGGCCATGGAAAGAGAGAAGGCGCTGCCATGTCGCAGACGCTGAGCTATGCTTTAACAGTTGCGCAGAGCCTTCCTCACCAGACGATTTATCCCACCGGGCTTCAGCAACTCATGGCTATTTGAGCAATGTAGCTGTATGGAACAGGGATACCTCCAAACTCATGGGTGACTATTTGGCTGAGAAGATGGACGTTCTGCAGCAGACCCTGGTGCATATCGGGAAAGGTGGCACAGTCCGTTTGCTTCAGGGAGCCTCCCAAGAAATGACCGCGGAGATGGAGGAGCTCGCGCGCATGGCATCAAGCCCCTTTGCCACCCCACGATCCCAAGTCATGGCCCGCGATGCTTTGCAGAGCTTCCTTGAAAGTGCTGAGGAGTTGGACGATTTGGAAGAGTTGAATGCCACTGGAAATGTCTCAGCATCTTTAGCTTCCACATCCGAGTCTTTGAACTCTTCAAAGGCGATTCCTTTCTTGGACCATGTGCAGAACCTTTATTCTGCCTTGCAGAATGCTGCAGGCGCCTGACTGTTGCAGTTCTATTTTTTCAGGTAACCACTTCTTGGGAAATTGCCACATTCGCAGGGTCGTCGAAATCCGCGTTGCGGGTTCCTGCGCTGGACCGGCCCAGCCCGGCCAGGTTCTCATCGAAAGTCTGATCTCGTTCTGAAGCAAATGGCATCCACCATCAGGCACGGTGTGGTCTCCACTGCTGTCGTTTCTCTAAGAAAACTCTATTGAACGACAGTGGATGTTGGATCGGATGACCTGAGTTGTTGTGAGGCTTTTGCAATCCGATGCCCAACAAGAATTTCGCATGTTGGGCGTCCACCATACGCACTTGCACAGCTTTTCGAGATCAACGTCCGTGCAAAGTCAACTGAAGAATTTGGAGCGACATTCGATCCTGGTCTCTCTGGACCAGGTGCATTGGTGTTCTCCGTGCTGTTGTTGTTTGTGTTACGATGAACATTAGACAGTTTCTTAAGACACATTACAATCCCAAACAATCCATGGGACTGGCAATATGTACCTTCGGGATCCTTCGGGGTGGGTTTCACGGCTCCGAGTAGTACGTAATCTTTCCATGGCTGGTCAGGGAATGTAGTATTTGTCGCCAACCCAAAAAAACAAATCAAATTGAGCATCGCAGCGATAGGTACAGAGCTGACCCCAAAAGGTCGCGTCGCTGGCCCTCAGGTCGCGGATCAGCCTCTCTTTGGGATTCCAATTTTCATATCATTTCATTTGGGGGTTGATTCATCGACAGTCTACAGATGTCTACGGATGTCTACAGATCATCGGCAGGTTTCCCAATTCCCAAGTTCCTTCAGTTTGCAAGTCGCGCGAAACTCGCGCAGGTGTGGTGGAGGCTGCGCGAGAAGTTGGATCGGTATATGGAGGTGGCCAAAACGGAGTTGGATACCTTTCAACATGCATTCTTGCAGATGGAGAGTTATGCAAGTTGCTCCGCGCCCTTCTCTGACATGGTGGCTTGAACGACATAAATACGTGTTGTTCACGTTGTTCATGACATGAACGTGTCAAAACAGGGAGGGCCAGCCAGCAGTGCATGTGAATGCAAAAAAGTATAGCAGCAAGATGCAACTTGGCATAGGTATGGCATAGGCCAACAGTGTTCTTCGATTTAAATGGCGTGCTACAATCAGACAGTGTATTCCTCAAGGACGCTGCGGCTTCGGAAGTGCCCTGGTATCTCAAGAGAATTCAATGACAGACCGAGGTCACCGGTTACTTGCTCACCAGGGAAGCCTCCAAGCGAAACCAGCAAGAGCTTCGAAGCGCCTGGCAGGAAGCGTCCAACCTCTTTGGAGAATTGGTGGCGATTGTGGTGGACGGAGAGGCCTTCAGCATATTCCGAGGATTGGAAGGATGCCTGATCAAGGCTCCAAAGGTCTGACGCAGCAGACCCTCCTTCAAGCTCGTGCTGTCCTTCATGGATTGCGCATGCTCTTGCATCGGATGACTGTGGCCCGTATGAGCCTTCCAGATCTGTCCAGCATCAAGGATGCTGCCCACCGATTGAACGAGTCCACACACTTGCGATGCAGGGCTGTGAGGTGAAGGCTTAGAGCATCCAGTGCATCTGAGGCAAATGCTTTTGGATCCCAAGTCACTGGAGGCTGTAGACTTTTGATTCCACCAGTGCTTTGCACTGGTCGATGCCATTAGCTTAGATGAGCACCATATTTGGTGTCCAAAAGCCTGAATGCCCGACGTGTATGGTTCTGTGGGAAGTTCGCATGTTTGTCGACATGATGCTGTTGAAAGTAGAAGGTGCGCCACAATTGCCCACTTCTTTGGCTTTCCAACAGACCTCCGTGCCTGTTGCCTCCAAAAACTCTATCCCTCTCCGAGCTCATGTTGTCTTCAGCCTTCCTGCACACCAAACACCCACACGTTTTCATCCTCCGGTTTTTTTCAGTCCTGCCCCTCCAGTCCACCCAGGCTCCAGCCCCATTTGTCAGCCTGAGTCAGTGGTGGGCGGCGCGGGGCCTCGGAAGAGTGGGTCTTTCCCGAATCCCGTTGAGCATCTTAAGATACCCTACACCTGCAGGTACCTCCTCAGAAGGCACTTGCACCCTCCAAACCCACACCAAACACCTCCTCAGAAGGTACTTGGAGGCCTCGGGATAATAAGACTCTGGAGGAGGAGTCTTATCAAGTACGTGTCTTTAGTGGTGTATTTGTGTGGTGAAAAGGTGGGCAAGGGGTTTGAGCCAAGTGTTTTCGGTGTAGGGTAAGCAAGCTTCACTACGAGACTACGTGGAGGCCAGATGGTTATATATACATATTATATATTGTCACTAGTGTTAAATCCACCGTCCCTTGCTGCAATACCGCCATCTTCCCAGGCATCGTGGTGGGCATCGCAGCATGGCCAGTGAATACCCTCAGGCGCGACTCCCCACCCGACCCGGGCCTCAGGACCGACTGTGACCCTTCGTTTTCTCCATTTTGTCGGGTGGCACGCAGTCCACATGGTCCCCATATTTGGGAAAAGCGTACGTAGGGTGTTTGTTGGTGTTTTACATGTTTGTATGCCCCTGTGCTTGGGGTTGGACGGGTCCACTTTGAATCAGGCAGCCAAGGGAATGCTAAGATTGAAGACTTGTACAAAAACGAAAATGTTTCATGTTGGCCAAACCACCGAACGTCGTTTGCTGTTCTTCACTCGCCGTGATAGAACCAAAGCAGAGCACTTGACCGTGCACACAGGATCATCCTACCCAACATCATGGCAGATGTCACCAGTACTTCGAAGATGATCATGAAGGCAGGTGTGGCGAAACCGTGCACCCCGGGAAAACGTGCAGCTCTCGGCTGCAGGGCCACGCACTTGATGTTCCTTTTTCCGTCGGTCTGGTTGTGGCCAGGCCACGCACTTACTTTTTCTCGTCCAGTTGCGGTTGTGTTGCCTTAGGTGCTGATGGCTAGGGTGTTTGCATGCACCAGAGTTCTGATGCCTTTGGCCAGCAGACGGACTTTTGGGTGTCACCTACCTTGACACCTCTTGATACTTATGCCAAGCTTCTCGGCGCCAAGATGGCCTACCTGGACCACCCAAAAGCACCAGCTGTTTGCTTTACGTCCCCGCTGGGCCCCAGGAATCCGTTGAAAGTGGAGAGTACATGGGGAGAATGGGACAGAGGGATCGGTGAGAAGGAGACGACCGATGAGACCAGGAAGGACAACCGATGGGATCGGGTTGAGCCAATTTGTTTCACAAATTCTCTCCGAAAGAGTGTCCCGGCCTTGGCTCAATGCATGTGGTACAGTGAGACTTGATCCCTTGTACGCGTCGAGTGTTGGTTCTTGTTTCTTTGATGGATAGATAAGGATAGCCATTTATGGTTGTTGTTTGCCTCTTTTGGTTGTCGGTTTGGACAAACATATGTCGACATGTGACATATCACTTGTTGCTGTATACCACACCAAAGTCAGCTAGTTGCGCTAAGGAGCCTAGCTGCTGGCTGCCAAACAAAAGAAACACCATTCAGAACACACCTACGGTATCCAATGGTAAACTAGTTCAGCTGTATAAGCCATTCCTCACGGTCGTCCTTGACTTTGGGCAAACCCATTTCAGGTCTACCACTCTACAAGATACCATCCCTATACCCAACTCTGACAAACAGTCTTAGCCCAAGAATGACGGTGTGAATGGAAGATCTTCTTCCTCATCGCACCGGGGAACGCCCCGCAGATCGGCAACTTGCCCCTGCCGGCGGGCGGCTTCTTTCCCTCGGTGGTCACTGCAGAGACGGGGAGCTTAGTGATTGGTCACCGTGGAGCGGAGCGTAACGAGCGGTGGATTTGTCAACAGATTGTTTGATGGTTAATGGTTGAGACCGGGTTGCATTTATATTGATTTATCAATATAAAGAGGCAAAATCATTGTGACAACCTTCTCTCATCATGCCCAGTACCTATATACGATCCAGGGTACCTGGCCTTTGCCTGCATTGCTTGGACAGAAGAACTATATCCTACGGGCTCATGCAGAGTCATGGTCTCTGATTGAGCTTGGAGATGGGAAGCATTGAAAAGAGGAGTTTGGGTATCAAAAACAGGTAGCCATGATATATTTAGGACTTGTCACATACTTAGGACTTTGATCTCATTGTGTCATGCCAGGTTACATCCTTTGATGTACTTGTACCCCCTTTTGGGGTGTGTCAGCCGAGCCGACGTCAGGATCATGAAGGATGGCGGCTTTTCGCCCTTCTATTGGGACATGATCATGGTGCGACCTCTCAGCTGCGACGGGTGACAGACGCAGAGTACCAGACGTTGTGCATTGACACCTGACGTTTGCAAGCAGAATTCTATATCATGTACTGTATATACATATGATACATCTGAGAATTCATAATAATAGTAATACTAATAATAATCATCATCATCATCAGCAGCAGCAGCATCATATGTTTGATATTGTTTGGTGTTGGCACCCTTTGTTGAAGATTATATCAACATATATCAATCAATCGCGACCTTTAGAATCGACTACTTGTTGAGCTCCATGCATGCTCCTCACATCGCTGCATTACTTTGCATGGGTCAATTTGTACTTTCACATATCTTTGTGTGGAATAATGGTTGCTGTTGTTTCTCTAGGTCTATGGATTGTTAGATGAATTTAGTGCTTTCGGGAGTGGTTGGGTGTCCACAGGAGCTGTACTGTACTGGTAGAAAGGTCTCAACCAAACCCAAGCGGTCAACCAAATATGCCGGTTTTATAGGCTGACTCCCTCTCCTACCCCGTCAGTGGAGAACCTGCAAAACCGTCTTGAGGAATTGGGGACACCCCACTGGACAGTTCACTTAACCTGTATTTTTCAAAGAAACTAAGGGAGTCAGCCCTTTTTATGACAATTTTTACTAGTCATACTTATCCACCTGTAGTGAACTGGATGATCTCATTCCCAGGTTTTGCTTTGAGGGAACTTGGTCACTAAGGATATCTAAGGAGACTATGGAAAATAAGACCCCTACAGCAGACAAATGACTCAACCATCTAGCCCACCACATGCCCAAGAGAAGCGAAACGGGGAGGAGTGTTTCACTTAGGAGTTTGCGTTCGCCAAAAACTGCACTCGGTCACCCAGCGCTCCCCGCTGGTCCACGCGCTCGGAGAGCAGGCCCAAGCGGTGTCCAACGTGAATGGAGGGAGTCACGCCACCCAAGCTGTCAGGGGTGGGCCACTGGGCGGGGGGAACTGCGACTCATGCTCTTTCTCGTTCTGAGTGTGGACTGACTAAGAATGGCCAGAAGGGGCCAGTGTAGATTGATGTTCTGCAGCGGAGTATTCTTTTTGGCTCATTGGAGTCCACCTTACAGGCCAGGGGTGAAATGAGTCAGAGTCATTTCAGAGTATGTATTCCTTAAGATCCAAACACATCTTGGATTTTTGCGCCATCGAACAACCGACACCAAGAAAACCGCTGCATTTGCATTTGGATGGACTCAAAGCCATTTGTTGAAAGCTTGGGATGTGCCAGTTGGATGCACAGATAGATTTGCTTCACTTGCACAAAAACGTTCGCAAGTTGTCCACCCATTTCCAGTGTTCGCAGAGTCCAACATGCTATTTGGATGTACTCTTTTGTGTTTCTGTGCTTCAATCTGATGTCTTGTCTTGTCTTGAAAGAAACAAGACTGAGCGGTGAGAACTGGAGCACACAGCTAGCGCAGCATAAATCATGAGCACTCCAGGGTCCAGGAAGGCCTCCCCTTTCATAAGACTGGCAAAGCAGAACCTAAGCCGGAACTTAAGCAGTTAGCCCTGGAGCAAAGCATTTTCAGATGCGTCAAGAGACAGCTGGGCAATTGGAAACAGACATTTACTTTGAGACATACTAAGCAATGAGCTTATCAGTCTTCAAATCTTCACCAGTCAGCCACCTTGGCCCTCGCCCACAACCCACGTCCCAGTTCCAAGCGACGGCTCGCCGCTCGCCCTCCTCAGGTGCTCGGCTCTACAAGAGGCCCTTGATCTTGGCAGCTTCCTTGGTCTCCACCGTTGGGGAACCCACCCGTTGGGCGACACGCGCGGGCGACCGCGAGCACTGCGGAGATGGTGGTGGAAGGAGGTTGAGAAGAATCGACCAACCGAGCGGGCGACGGGAAGATGGGGACAGCCGAGCAACAAAGGGAGGTGGTGAAAACTGAGTTGTGTGATGCTTGCATTGTATATTGTACACTGACATGGAGACCTCCCAGTTTGACCCCTCCAAGAAGGACAATAGACTAGTCTACCTTTGGGGCCAGGGGGTCTCCCTATTCAAATACACACCCATCAAATGATTCCAACCACTCCTCCTCCAAGGACTGCATCTTCCGTCGTTTGAACATGTCTGAACATGTCCGTCACTCCGACCCTTGCCACGTGGGCCAATGGCCTTCACAGACAAGGTGAGTCCTGGCCCCACCAAACCTGCTAGCTTGACCATGTTTGGTATTCTGTTACTCTGTTCTTCCGAATCGGTGATCAACCAGGGTCGGATGACTGACCCAAAAATGTTGTGACTGGGGAAAAGAGAACAAATATATAAACAAATCCCGAGATGTTTGTATGTACAGCCCATATATACTCCGCTAGGGTACTGCAGACACGTGACTCTTGACGTGTTTTGGCTCAAGGTGAAAAGGCGTTCCGAAACGTCGAAACCTCGTTTTCATGGTAGCGCACGAGTCCGGTGAAAGTGACAGGGACAAAGCGCTGCGCATAAAGGAAGAAAGACACAGTAAAGTCGAGAGCTCCGAGGAGGAGGAGCTGGGATCCTCGGGAGCGGCAGCTTCTGCCGCCCCGAGTGGAAAAGAAGAAGAAAGGAAAGGAACAGAGGAGGAGAAAGAGCCTTTGCCAGCCACATCAGCGGCGGATCCAGCCGCAAGCACCACTCCAGCGGTTGAGAAGACCGCAGAAACAACTTCAGCGGTTGAAAGGACCGCAGAAACAAAAGAAGAGGGGCCGGAGATCGGACGAACCGTCCGCAGCTGAAAAGGTGCGAGAGCAGCGCCTTCAGGGGTTGAGATTGGGAAACCATGGCATTGGAACAGCAGATCCAACAGTTGTCTGATATGGTTTTGCAACTCCAGCAAAACCAGGCACGTTTGGAACAAGAGAACCAGGTATTGAGAGAATCCCAAGGTGGGGTATCGATGTTGGCTTCAGCTGTAGGAGAACTGGCTAAGAGCCTTGAGAAAAAGGAAGATAGACGAAAGTCCCAAATACTTATGGACACCAAAGGTTTGGGCCGTCCTGAGAGTTTTGGGAACGTTGAAGGGGAATTCCGAAAGTGGGCCAGGAGCATCGACAACCTGTTCATAACTACCTTTGGGAGAGAGTTCATTGAAATCCTTGAGTACATTTTGGAACAGGAAGACACGATTGAAATGACCAAAATGGAAGAAGAGTTTGGGTCTGGCACCGTAACTGACATCGGTGACCTAGAAGACAAAGCAGACCAAATTCATCGTGTGCTCCTGACTCTCACTTCCGGCGAAACGGAAGATCTCATGGTAGGAGCCTCAAATGGGTTCGAGGCATACCGAAGAGTCCACCGACGATGGGATCCCCGTACTTCGGGAAGAAAGCGAAACATCCTCAGGGCTATCCTCCAGCCAGAGCGTGTCAAAACTTGGACCGCCGTGAGGCCAGCCATCGAACAGCTGGAAGAGCTGATCAGGAGGTACGAAGCCCGGCGAAACGCATCAGGGGCTAGAGAGACACTATCGGACGACATCAAGTCCGCTTCATTGGAGATGCTGGTACCCCCAGATTTGGAGAAACATCTTTTGTTGAACAAGAGTAGATTGACAACCTATTCATTGATCAAACAGGAGATTGAACTTGTCATTGAATCATCTCTCACATCAAAGTCATCTGTTCCAAAACCAGGTTCATCGAGTTCTAGTTATCAAGGACCTCAACCCATGGACGTCGATTCGATCGGACAATGGATTGCAAGCCTAGTCAAAGGAAAAGGTAAAGGAAAAGGTAAACAGGTCAAAGGTGATGGAAAGAAAGGCTCAAGTAAAGGAGATTCAAGTAAAGGCTCAAATACGGCTCAAGATATCACCTGCTACAATTGCGGTAAGAAGGGACACAGAGCGGCCGATTGCTGGAGCAAGAAACGGCCGGATGGAAAAGGCGATAAATGGTCAGGTTCAGGCAAAGGAGACAGGAGTGGAAAAGGTGGCAAAGGCAGTAAAGGCAAAGGTGGAAAAGGCGGCAAAGGTAAAGCCGCAGGAAGTATGGAAGAGATGGACGAACCGGACGATGGCATTGAGCCAGCTCCGGAAGCAGATGTCGGAATGCTCATGGCAGACTTGAGTGGAATTGGAATAGCGGATACTTCATCCGCCGAGGAATGGATGAGGTTTAACCTGGACACTGGAGCAGCCCAGACAGCCATCCCGAATGGCTGGGAGGACCGAGTGGTTGTCAGTGAAGGCAACGGAGTTGTTTTCAAGACTGCATCAGGAGAGTTGGTGCCCAGTCAGGGCATTGGAACCTTTGAAGGGTTCGACGAGAGCGGCAACAGATGCCGTGTGAAAGGTTCAATGGCCGATGTGCACAAGCCATTGATTTCAGCATCCAAGTGCTTAGGCTTTGGAAGGATTGCAGTTCTTGATGTGAATGGCGGAAACTTGATTCCGCAAGGGTCCAAAGTTGGAAAGGCTGTTCAGGTGATCCTGGAGAAAGCGAACGCTGCAGAGCAGCGGAGTTGGATCCCTGTATATCAGGAACAGGGAGTATACAACTTCTACTTGAGGAAGCCAGGGTATAAACCGACAAAGGAATGCTGTGGCATCGCAGAGTTGAACGCCACAGGAGAAAGAGGAGATGCCTCTATGGATTCAGGCCGACCTGGTCCAGAGGGGCGAGAAGAGGATGATGAGTTGGAATTAGTTGATGAGGTTGAGAAACCCATCCAGATAAGAGCACCGGAGGACCCAACTCCGGCTGAGATTGAGGAGCACGAGGCGACAGGCCATGTGCAGTATCGAAGTTGGTGCCGGCATTGCATTGCTGGACGGGCTGTGGGACAGCCACATCGGACGAGATCCGAGGAACAGAAGGCAAAGAGCCTTATGCCCACAGTGGCAATGGACTATACGTTCATGTCACGGGGCGGTGTGGAGGACGAGCGAGTGAAGCCGATCCTCGTTGTGAAGGATGAGAGGACACAGTCCTTAGCGGCGACCTTCGTGGACTCGAAGGGAGCGACGCCGTATGCAGTGAAGTTCGTGGCGAACTTCTTGAAGAACTTGGGACACCGTAAGGTGGTTCTCAAGTCGGATGGTGAGCCACGAGCCTTGAAAGAGGCAGCAGCGAAAGAAACCGGCATAGACTGGGTTTCGGAAGAGTCGCCAGTAGGAGACCGTCAAGCGAATGGCCTGGCAGAGAACGCCTGCAAGGAGGTCAAACGTCAAGTACGAGTCCTCCGCAGCGCGTTGGAAGAGAAGCTCGGCAAAGAGCTTAAAGATGATGATCCTGCATTGGCATGGCTGCCAAGACAGGCGGGAGACCTGTTGAGCAGGTATAAGAAAGGTCAAGATGGCAGAACGCCTGAGGCCAGAAGATGTGGAAAGCAATGGCGAAAACCTGCCATAGCTTTTGGTGAACGCCTATACTTTAGAGAAGTAGGCGAGGGAGTTCGCATCCTGAAAGAAGGACGCTATGTAGGGCACCACGGCCGAACAGGATCCATTTTGGTGATGACGGCCGATGGCGTGCGCAGAGGCACAGGAATCCGGCGGCTGAGTTCAGCCGACCGCTGGGACCCAAGTGATTGGGACCTTTTGCGGGGCTTACCGTGGGAGCACTCCGCGGCAAGGCCTGCCGGTGAGCAGTTGATGCTCGAAGAGCGTCTTGTGGTACCACCTCCCAAGGAGGAACGAGTGGCACCACCACAGCAGAGGCGAGTGTACATCAGGAGAGAGGATGTGCACAAGCATGGAGCCACAGAAGGCTGCCCAGGATGCAGGTGCATCTTGGAAGACAAGAGGACGACCTTGCCGCGCACAGAGGCGTGCAGAGCAAGGATCACCGAAGCGATGGAAAAGGATGAAGCTGGGCAAGCGAGACTTGAAGCCCATGCAAAGAAGAGGAAAGAACGGCAACAGCTTGACACTGTGAAGCCGAAAGTCGTGGCCGACAAGGACACCGACATCACGGCCGAAGACGCGGCCGGAGAACCAGAGAAGAAAGAAGAAGCAAAGAGCGCAGGATCGGGAAGCCCGCCGCCAACAGCGGCAGAGGGTGAGAAGACCTATCCCGATGACCCGAAAGAGAGATATGAGATGAAGAGGCAAGCAGCCGAGATAGAGAAGAAACCAGTGGCGAAAGCCAAGGTAGCAACGGAGCCCAAGAAGAGAACAGGGGAACTTAGAATAGATCCACCCGGGGCAAAGGTCAAGCCGAATCCAGCCCAAGGAACAAAGAGGACGGCAGAGACTGCTGTAGAAGACCTTGATCCCAGAGTGGAAGAGAGTCCAAAGAAAACGTCTCAGTTTTCCCATGTTCCAGAAACACCACCAGCAGGGTGGAAGCCAGATGCAGCAAGCTTGGTAAAAGAGAAGGAGATCGCAAAGCAGCATCTGAAGAAGATCATTCAAGGAACCTATGAGGCGAATGGCATTGAGATCACTGAGCAAGAGATCGGAGACATCGCGCATTTGAGTATGCAGATGTCAGCAGTAGATGTCATGGAAATCTACTCGCCCAAGAGGTTCACCGCGCTTGCAGAGCGGTACAAGTTGCGACCGGGTTTCGCGGTCGACTTGAATGAATTGAAAAGTGATGGGACATACTGGGACTTGAACAAGTCCGAAGATGTCCAAGAGGTGCACAACATCCTAGAGAGAGACGAACCGGCTCTCTTGACCGGATCGCCTCCGTGCCATATGTTCTCGCAGCTCCAGAATCTAAACTGGAGAAACATGGCACCGGATGTCAGGAGGAGGAAAATGGACGAAGCCGTCCATCACCTTCATACGAGCGTAGAGCTGTATGCCAAGCAGCATCGCTCGGGGCGAAAATTCCTCCATGAGGCACCATGGGCCGCAACCAGCTGGAAGGATGAGAAGGTTGAGGCCTTAGCAAAAGAAGATGGTGTGTTTGTGGTGAAAGGTCCAATGTGCAGGTGGCAGATGATGGCCACCGACCGAAGAGGACTCCAAGGCACCGGCTATGTGAGAAAGGAGACCGGTTGGATGACCAACGATGAAGGGTTGGCCCGAGTCTTGCAAGGAGTCTGCTCGAATGAATCGGGCAAAGGACCATGGCACCGACGCATCCATCTGATTGGAGGCATTGCTAGGCAGGCAGCGGTATACCCACCGCAGCTTGTGAAAGCAGTGCTGAGGAGCCTGCGTGACACACTAGCAGAGAAAGGTGAGTTGAACACCTTCGATCTGTTCGCAGCAGGCCCAGTTTGAGAGATGCCTCTGATGAACCCAGAGTTCGAAGAGGTCTACATGGATGATGTGAACGGCGGCATTTTGCCAGCCGAAAAAGTGAAGGAGGCAAGACGCCTTGAGATGGACTACTTGAAAGAGAAGCATGGCGTTTATGTGCCCCGGCCGAGAGCCGAATGTTTTGAGGAAACGGGGAAGCCCCCGATTCCAGTCAGATGGTTGGACACCAACAAGGGAGATCCAACAAATCCGAACTATAGGAGCCGATTAGTTGTGCGTGAGATAAAGGCAAGAAAGACCAAAGACGAACAATTGCCAGCCAACTTGCTTTTCAGCAGCACGCCCCCATTGGAGGCGATGAGACTGCTGTGCTCGTTGTGGGCAACAAAGAGAAAGTCCTGCCGCAACCAGCCGCTGAAGCTGGGCTTGTGGGACATCTCACGAGTGCACTTTTATGGAACTCCAAAGAGAAAGATCTACATAGAGCTGCCGCCTGAGGACGAGGCCAGCAAAGATGGACAAACCTGTGGACTTCTCGTGAAGTCGATGTATGGGACACAGGACGCTCCAAATATCTGGCAGACGCACTACACAGAGACTCTGCAGAAGGCTGGTTTCCGCAGAGGCTTGTCAAATGCGTCAGTCTTCTACCAAGAAGCTTGGGACGTCAGAGTGATGGTGCATGGAGATGACTTCCTAGCACTTGGAGACGCCCAACACTTGGAGAAGCTCAGCCAAGTCCTCAAAGATCCCTATGAGCTGAAATGTCTCGGAATTCTTGGAGACGAGGATGGAGACCGAACAGAAGCCCATTTCCTGAATCGGTTGATCCGAGTCGAAAAGAAGAACGGCAAAGGATCGATTGTGATCGAAGCCGATCGGAGACTTGTTGATCTTTTGATCCAGGCATTTGGCCTGGAAAAGGCAAATGGTGTAGAATCACCAGATGTCAAGAAGTCGGCAGATCAGCAGATGCTGGAAAGCCGCAGTCCGCTGCTTGATAAGAGCGAGGCATCGAAGTATCGTTCAGCTACGATGCGTGCTGCGTATCTGTCCCAAGATCGACTCGATATTGGACACGCAGTCAAGAACCTTGCTCGGGGTATGGTGTCGCCGACAGAAGCCAAACTTGCAGACTTGAAGCGTCTCATCAGGTACTTGAAGAAATATCCTGATGTTGGGCAATGTTTTGGCTCACAGCAGGCACCCTCAAGGCTGAGGGTCCAGGTCGACGCCGACCACGGTGGAGATGCTGTGACACGCAAGAGCACGACTGGCATGGTTGCCATTTATGGCACACACGTGCTGAAACACAGCAGCAACATCCAATCCACCATAGCCCTTTCGACAGGCGAAAGCGAATACTACGCACTCGTGAAGGGCGGATCTGTAGGCTTAGGACTCCAAAGCCTATGCGCAGATCTTGGTTTGGATTTGGAAGTCACCATAGAAGGCGATTCCAACGCAGCCAAAGGAACTGTGAACCGAGTGGGTTTGGGTAAAGCCAGACACATCCAGACCCGCTACCTATGGTTGCAAGAAAGGGTCGCCGAAGGCCACTTGAAAGTGCACCACGTTCCAGGTGTCAAGAACAAAGCCGATGTGTTGACCAAATCGGTTCCTGGGGTGCAACTTCGCAAAACCATGGAGGACCTGCAATATGCATTTCTCAGCAAGCGAAGCAAAGGACAGTTAGATGTTTTGGAGTAAGGTCCCTGGCCAAGCTCCACTACCACAACTGAAAGTGGCTAAGCAGCGAAGAGTTTCACGTGTTTCCTTTAAGCTTGCGCAGCAGTACAGTGCTTTGCAAGAGGAGGAGTGTTTGTATGTACAGCCCATATATACTCCGCTAGGGTACTGCAGACACGTGACTCTTGACGTGTTTTGGCTCAAGGTGAAAAGGCGTTCCGAAACGTCGAAACCACGTTTTCACGAGATCAAAGTGCACAGGTTCTCAGGTCGCTCCGGCGAGCAGATTCCGCAGCTGAGCACGACAGAGTTGAATGAATTCCGCAGCTGACCATTGGCCAGTTGTTCATCCATGATAGTTCCACCCAACAAAACAATTTGGAACCAGGAATACGCATACATTTTTCTTGGTATGGCCTTTTACTTTGGTTGTTTTGAGGAAATAGCTCAATACACATTTCTACACCTACCCAGGTGTATAGGTATATATACATGACAAGAAAGCTCACAGGTTATCGGTGGTCGTGGCTCTCTTCTTTGCACCGGTTCATTCTCTCAGGTGGGCGATGGCAACCAAGCGCCCTTCAGAGGCGATACCGGGAACAAGTTCGGGTGCCCAGTCGAGTCGAGAGTCGAGCGCCAGCTCGACTGAGCTGGCAAAAATGACTCGGGGTGAAACGGGGAGCGGACGTAATGGAGAGATGGAGAGTGTGGATAACCATGAACATTTGATAATTTTTTTCAACATGCATGACTGGCAGTGTTCTTGCATTTATGTTGTGCAGGTGGGGACCAGCCATGTTGTCCACGGTGTCGTAGTGCAGAACGGTTTGGATTGGGTTTGAATCGATTGCGCCAGTGATGGTTTGACCCCTTCGACTGCAGGATCTACGCACGGATTCGCTTCGGCACCACCTTCTACGGCTTCGGAAACCTTGCGAGGGGCTGAGAGAGAGCTCAGCTGAGAAGAGAGCTCAGCTGAGATGGGGATTGACCATTCAAATTGTTGTTTGGGAAGTGGGAGACAATGCTGCTCTAATAACTATATCAAATTGAAGTTCTGGGATCTTCTGGTGGCTCCGCGTTACTTTGCGGAGGACTGAACTGGTGGGACCTTGATCAGGGTTTTTAGTTTGACCCACACCAAGTTACTCGTGTTGGTTTTGAAATCTAACATTTACATGTGACCTAATTATATGTCATTGACCATGTGCCGCTTCTCCGGGGACGAACCACGCACTCCTTCCTTGCTGCCTCCACCTACCTTTTTTTGTGTGAAGTGTTGCTGGTCTTTATCTCTCAACGGTCATGATGTACGCCGGAATCTGAGCCTTCCTGACCCTTCCTGACTAGTCGATCCCGCTATCCACATGTTTCATCACGGTTTCCCAACCAAGCTCTCAAGAGTTGCTTGGCTGGAAGAGAAGCTCATGTCAAGTCTCAGACTCGCAAAGTGCACAGGTGCAGCTGAACTTCAAGTTACCGCTAGGCCTTTTGATGAGTGCGGCAGCTGCATTTCAGGGAGATTCAACCTTACAACCCATAACATGTCATAACATCTTTCTACGTAGAGCTTGCCAAGTCCGTTCTTCTGTGAGAGTGGAGACGATTGTATCTTGGATGTTTGTGGTTTTAGATATTGCTAACATTGCAAGGAGAGGCAGGAAGAGCTGGGAAGCCGGTTGTTTGCTGAGTAGATAGTCTGTGGGGACACGAGCGCACATACATTCCAGATATTTCCAGATCCATACTTGAGGATGGATGATATACACGTGACATCGACATATGACATATCACACTGATCTGGCAGAGACTCCGACTATATGACTCAAAGTCCTCAGAACAACCCTTGCTGCGCCAGGCTACGCCTGCGTGTCGGCCAACCAGGGCGGCTCTGTGCGGTCGCCCGAACAGCGGAGGGCGAGCACCTGTCGAGTCGTGGATGGCTGCACGCGGAATCTTCAAATGACGTGTTGATCTGTATATGATTTCTTTGAGTTAATATGTTTTTGTATATAAATTTGTATCGGAAAAAAAAACAAAAACAAACAAATGTGATCGTTCAATTTATATATGTTTCATTCATTTCATTCAAGTGTTTTTCTCTTGAGTTGCAGGCGGTGGTCAATCAACACGTTCTCATGCTGAAATGACTGTTTCTGAGTTCGCTATCTATTTTGACTTCACAGCAAATTGACTTCCAAACCTTCTAACTGGAAGACCACTGAGACTATCCCACACTGGTCCCACACCCTCCTGACGCTTTGGACATCCTCAATGTTCTGCTGAGTTACATGCTGTGTAAATGGACCCCTGAAATTCTCAAATCCTGGCCCAAGGATCCCAGAACCATTTGCATCATTTCATAGACTTTCCTTCGAAGCACCTAGCGGACAGCTCAAAACATATGTGAGCTTCTGAGTGAGCCGATTACACCCTGACCCCAGTTAGGTTGAGAGTCTCAAATGAATGCCAGACATCCCAGCAAAATGGATACCAATGGTCTTCGAATCTCCCCAACCGGACGAAGACAAAGAACGGTTTCCTGCGACCCTCGACCTGCACCTAGTCTCGTCAGCCCCACTCAGGTGCCAGATCTGTCCATTTTGGCGAACCGCTTCCCTTCGACCAAGGGGCGCTTGGTTGGGGGTGCTCGGGAGTGCTTTGTTGCCTGTTCAACAGGTGGACAGTTTTGTATTTTTTCGCCAGAGCGGGGTTGTTCGGAAGCTTGACCAACTCAAGTCTCTAAATTTACAAGCTCACTCTTTCTCGGGATGACCTCATTTGAGTGAGACTAGAGGAAAGCACAACGCAGTCCATCAGCTCTTGTGTCAGACATGTCTTCCTTGAGGCCTCCCCCCCTCTTGAGAGATGTCAAGACCATCCCTGTCCAATTTTGCGTGTTATTTTTATCATCCCACAATGTGACTGTAGTCTCTACATCAGTTTGCGGCTATGGTTTGAGGGTGTTTTATTATGTTTTCATATTTATCAATTTATCCTTATAAAATCTTGTAAATACAAAGTAGCCAACTTAGGATTAATTCCCCAATAGCCATGCTATGGGGTCTTGCAAAACTAATAGGCGGACGGGCGCCGTCGGGTCACCGTCAGAGCTGGTGGGCGGATGGTGTCCCGGTCATGTTTTGATGGCGTCCGGGTCATGTGATGCTGGTGTCCCGGTCATGTTGTGATGGTGTCCCGGTCCTGTTTTGATGGTGTCCCGGTCATGTTTTGATGGTGTCCCGGTCATGTTGTGATGGTGTCCCGGTCATGTTTTGATGGTGTCCCGGTCATGTTTTGAAGGTGTCCCGGTCATGTTGTGATGGTGTCCCGGTCAAGTTTTGAAGGTGTCCCGGGCATGTTGTGATGGTGTCCCGGTCGTGTTGTGACGGTGTCCCGGTCATGTTTTGATGGTGTCCCGATCATGTGATGGTGGCGCGGTCCCGGTCATGTTTTGATGGTGTCCCGATCATGTGATGGTGGCGCGGTCCCGGTCATGTTTTGATGGTGTAGTGATGGTGTCCCGGTCATGTTTTGATGGCGTCCGGGTCATGTGATGCTGGTGTCCCGGTCATGTTTTGATGGTGTCCCGATCATGTTTTGATTGTGACCCAGTCATGTTGTGATGGTGTCCCGGTCCTGTTTTGATGGTGTCCCGGTCATGTTTTGATGGTGTCCCGGTCATGTTGTGATGGTGTCCCGGTCATGTTTTGATGGTGTTCCGGTCGTGTTGTGACGGTGTCCCGGTCATGTTTTGATGGTGTCCCGGTCCTGTTGTGATGGTGTCTTGGTCGTGTGCCGGTTATTTTTTGATGGTGTCCGGGTCATGTGACGGTGTCCCGGTCATGTTGTGATGGTGTCCTGGTCATCTTGTGATGGTGTCCCGGTTATGTTGTGATTGTGTCCCAGTCCTGTTGTGACGGTGTCTCGCTCATGTTGTGATGGTGTCTCGCTCATGTTGTGACGGTGTCCCGGTCATGTTTTGATGGTGTCCCGGTCACCTTGTGATGGTGTCCCGGTTATGTTGTGATGGTGTCCCAATCGTGTTGTGACGGTGTCTCGGTCATGTTTTGATGGTGCCCTGGTCATTTTGTGATGGTGTCCCGGTTATGTGATGATGGTGTCCAAGGAAGAGATGGTCGATGTGTTGAAAACAGCAGCTGTTTCCAGATTGTTTGTCCCGGTTTGTATCTTGCTATTGGGGTCTCCAGCTGGGCTAATTAGGTCTACAGGTAGACAACTATATAGTTTGCTATATATAAATGTTGCTAATTACTGTACATTTAATGGATACAACTGCCACTGCCCAATGTGTTCTCGGTGGAAGTCGGTGGAAGCCATCCCTTTCACGAGTCCAGTCAGTCGTGTGAAGGCTGTTCACTGGGTGTCGGTCTCCGCAGTTTGCAGCGAATCTTTTCAGCAGTTTTTGTGAAACATCTTTAGTTTTTGGATGGCCAAACCCACTGACTCATATTGTTCGAGCGAAGTCACCCACAATGCCGGCCGGGCGAAGTCCTGCAAGTGCTGGCCGACTGAGGGTGGCAAGGTTCCTGAAGTCCGGTACCGGCCAGTGGCCCGAAACCCAAGATGTTTGTCCGCGACACATGCGATTGTCGCGACTGATACGACTGGTCCGCCAGAGCATTCCGGGACACTCGTGCGGACTTGAAACCCAAAAAGAATTGATTGCTGCCATGTTGAAACACATGAGGGGTGATGTAGGGTATTCAGCAGAGAACTACATTGGTCACACCATCATAAAACATCAGTGCGGTGACCTAGTCTGAACAGTTGAGGGATGGGGATTCCATGTTCTTGTGCAACCAATCTAACGGCAACCAATCTAAGACATTCAGAAAGTTTGCCCAGAGTCTCACCCAGACACTCCATGGGACTGGAATCCATACCGACATTGACCAATAAAACCTCCCTAACTGAGCGGTGAGTATGCCAGTCCCATGGAGTATTTGGGTCCGGAAGGAGGGAACCGAGAGGAGGAAACAATAGACCCATGCATTCTGAACGAACCGAGTGACGCATAAACCCATGCGCTGTCGGATTTGTGTCACGGTGTTCGAAGGCGACGCCAGACGTGTTGTGTCAGATCACCTTGCTGGAGGACCGGCATCGGACTGCTTGGTGGGAAGAATTGGTGTATAGATGTGTATAGAAAGGCCCTGTACTCTCCCACTCTAACATCGAAGGGAAATCCTCCTCTTCATACAGCAGAATGCTCTTTCAGAGGCCTGCTTTCCCACTTCCATGTTGGTGAGTCAGATTTAAGCGTCCCTAAGCCCTCAAACACCAGAGGATGGAAGGGTGAAGTCAAAGGAGTCCCCTTTGCATTCCTACCGACAGACGAGGCCCAACAAAACCATGTTTAGACTCAGACGTAAAATGACGTAAAACATGGAAGATGCTCTTCCTTTACCAGGGCTGGTCTGAAACTGGTTGTTGTGTTAGGGGTTCCATACACATTCAGTCGGACCCATCCTGAAAAGCTCATTGACGGGTGTTTTTGCATGATCATCTCCTGTAAAATTGAGGTCGTTGACCTGTAGAGTTGCATTAGTTCATCCATTTGATGACGGACAGACAGCGTCACGTCACTCACCCCTAATAACATTGCCCAGACCCCCTGTTACATGGAGGGTCAATTGGCTACACTGTAATTTACTTCAGTCCGACGACATGCAGTGCTTTGGACAGAATAGTTGGATCAGCCGGTTGCTTTCATTTGTGCGTTCAAGACCAGATGTTCTGATTTGGACTTTCAAAAACCAGAGTAAAACCCCAAAGACCAACGGACTCACACAAAAAGACAATACACGTGGCAAGTTGGATAGTGATGTTTATGTGTTCCAACATGTGCTGCTCCAACGCGTCAGAACATGATCATTTATGCCCGCACAGTCGGGGTCCCAGCTGGTTTGGACATCAATGGTTCCATCCGTGTGGGCTGGGCGTGGTGCTCCTTGATGCCTTTGAAATGGCTTCGTTGTTGATCCCATACCTAAGCACCCTCCCGTCAATGAACATAAACAGACAATATAGAACCTGCCCCAGTCTATAGAAGGAGGCTAGTGATATGCAGAACATCATTCCATTCTATTCTGGTCAGAAGCGTTTTGAATGTTCTACTGTATATTATCTCTTTGAGTTTGTGTAAAGAGTTCTTGAGAAAAGCAGTGCTCCATAAACGATGTGGAGCTGCACCGAAGCCTTGGGCATTAATATCCAGGTTTAGGAGGATCTTCGGCAAAGCACTTTGTTACCACGTGGGAAGCTTCTTGTTAACCGTTTCTTTGTTTTTTTTGTGAGGATCACATGGGATCAGCATGGAGTGATGGTTTCTAGCAGCTGTCGTGCAGCTGTGCTGAGCTGCGCTGCGCTGACTGAGATCTATTACGTGGAACTGGAAGTGAACAACCCGACCACTGCCTTGAAGAAGGATGCCAGGATCCCAGAACTTTGGACAGGATCCTCCGATCAGAACCGATGGAGATGGTGCTTGGAGAGGGTGGGATTTGTTGCTTGGAGATTGGTACATTGGTGGGTTCTTGCTTGGTTGGTGAATTAGTGAGTTTGGTGTTTGGCTAGCCTATAGATCTTGCTGGTTGCGTCGTTGCGTGCACCATGTCCCTTTTGTTAGGGTGTCTCAAGTTCAACAGATGAAGGAGTAGCGTTCAACTAGTTTCTGGGCACCAGTTCAATACCATTTCCTTCGAGCTTGGAGATGGAGCCAGTGTGGGAGGTCGTTTCTACAGCTGTGGGAGGCGTCATGGGGTTTCAGGGCCCGGTGGTGAGGGTCGGGTATGGAGTTTCCAGCGCTCTTCAGCCTTCAGGATCAGAATCCACAGAGTGGACGATGATGGATTGGTCTTTTTTTGGAGCCGTGACCTGTTCACTACTCTTGTGAGCGGGATAAGACGGATGGATTCCAATGGATGGCCGCTTGAAAACCCTTGACAAACCCCAAGTGAAAAGCATGTCTCCAGGGTTGATCTAAACGATTAGACCTCCCGAAGCCCGTGTCGCTGGCGCCGTCCGGGTTCGTCGTCCGGGTTCGTCGTCATGAGGATGTGCTCAATACCTGGAGCTTGACGGTGGTCCACAATGGCTACACCCCATCGCAAATCATGGGCAGTGGATCCGGCGAGGCAGTGGATCCGGAGAGGGGGGAGAACGAGATGGAAAGGGGCAGGAGCCTCACTAAGGAATGGAGGAGGGGGGGGTTCTGTGCCTTCAGAGATCAGACTGGGCGCTGACCTTTGGAAGTGGACAGATCAGTATTCGGTGATCAGAAAAAATGGTGCCCAGCTTCAGTGCCCCAAGAACACCTGAGTTCTCATTGAGTCTAAGCTCATGGTTGTGTCATCGATCTCCTCGGTATCCTTGGACCAGCGGACCGGCAGCGATGTTTCACCGCCTTCGTTGGGTGTCAGTCATCCATCTGTGTCTCAAACGAAAAAGAGCTATGAAAGTATGCAAAGACCGGTCAAAGCTTCCGAGCAAAGTGAAGAGTGAATCAAGGGGACCTGAAACGACCATGCAATTCACGACATTAATTTTAATTGTTTGTCCTTTGGTTGCATTTGGCCGACTTATTTGTCCCATCCATGAGTCGCACGTAGTCAATCTATGAATACACCTCTAGATCCTTTCCCCAGCCTTTTGTTGTTGCAGCACCTCCACTGTCGCTTCTCCCTTGGCAGGACTTCAACCTTTCCACCAAGGAGCTCACCTTCTGCCCTGCGCCTCGCGACAAGCTTTTTTGCTTGTGGGAGGCCCCAGTGCTGCATTGCGGTGTGGAGCTTGGGGGTCGGAGTGACCGGAGGGCGGGGTAATCACACAGAGGGAGCTTCTTGTCATAGCTGTGAATTGCAACATCCCTGAAATCAAATGCTTGGCACGTCAGTTTAAGTACTGGAAGGTTTCATCCAGATGCGGTGTTTGGGGGCACCAACATTTGCTGAATCTCCTGACATCCCCTGAACAATGCCCTGTAGACTGTGCTGTCCGCCTAGGAAAACTATACCCTCTCAAGAAAGACTGACCAAACTCAAGAAACCCATTGAACACCTCTCCATCATTATCCATCAATATCATCAATTGTGTTTGATCGATGTTGCTTGTTTTTGTTCATGCATGGTCACATAGCAAGGTGCTTGTATATGTTGCAGTCTCCCATGTTTGCAGAACATTTCTCAGCAAAGTGACTATGCTTGGCCGAATGTCAGTGGCAAAGAGAACCAGACCAATTTCGTAGTGGACTCATGTTTAACCTTCCAAAAGGCCGGTGGTTGTGCGGGACTTCTGATGTTGGCATTCTGGAGGGATGTTTGCCCTGCATGTTTCTTATCTCCACGACCTGACCTACAAACTAGATCAAACTGGAACAACATAACCTGACAAAATCGAATGGGTCCGGATGACGCAAAGGTCCTCAGAAACCACTTGTCATAGACCAACCGGTTGACCGTTACTCCTCTCCCCCCATCCGAATTTCACGCATCGGAACTTGCTGAAGCGCGACACTTCTTCGCCAAGGTCAAGCTTCGGCACGGGCTACGCAGATGCCCTGCC